ATATATATAGGCAAACATTTGGTTTTAGCCTTTTAACTTAATAAATTTGTAGGTTTAATTTCTTACCTTATACTATAATACTTTTAATTTCTCATCTACACGAATTGAAAAAGAAAACCTTTATTTAATTATTTAGTGTCAAGCTATAACATTCTATTAGTTCTGTTAATTGACTGTTAGTTTTGTTAATTAATTATTAATTCTATTAATTGACTATTAACTCTATTAATTAACTGTTAGCTGACTGTTTATATTCCGTTAATAGAACTAACAAATAAAATTGAATTTAAATTTCATGTTTTTTATAATGAAATGCTAACAGTCAACTAATAGAACTAATAAAATATTTTGTTAATTCTGTTAATTGATTATTAGTTTTATTAATTGACCGTTAATTTTATTAATTAACTGGTAGTTGACTGTTAGCATTCCGTTAATGAAACTAACAAATAAAATTGAATTTCAATTTCATGTTTTTTATAATGGAATATTAACAGTTAACTAATAAAATATTATAACTTTATATTAAATCATGATTATTTTTTAAATTTATAAAGATGAGAGATTAAAAATATTATAGTATAAAAAATAAATTAAAATTTATAAATTAATTAAATTAAATAGTTAAAAGTTTGTGTTTGTAAAGTTGCAAATGGTATTTTTTTTAACTGTGCTTTTTCAGCGTTTTTTGCGCCGAAAAAAAAGATATATTGTCTATACCCTGTGCGCTAAGGACAAATCTCGAAAATTGATACGCAACGCCCCCTCACGCCACTTGGTGGAATTGTGTGTATCAATCTTCAATATAAAAAATGTATATAATTAACTTTTTATTATTATTAAATATATATTAAAAAGTAAAAAAAATTTAATTATACGTTTATATATATTAGATTAAGAGGAAATATGTGAATAAAAATATTAATTTTGTTAACTTTAGCATACAAGGTTTAGACAATAGATCATTTTTAACTAAAATATTACATGTTACTTTCAATTTTTTTATTTAACAATATATATTAATTGAATGATAACTTAAACATGCTAATTAGATCTTTTAGTTAAAATGTTAAAAGGTGATATCGTTAAATAGAAAAAAATTAAAAATTAATATATTTAAATAAAAAAATTAAAATTTAATATTTTTATTTAAAAATTAATAAAATTAATATTTTAAATAAAAAATAAAATTAACATATTTCTTTACACTTTTTCTCATAAATTAATTTATAAATGGATATACATAATCTATATTAATATATATTTAGGGGTTAGTCAAAAAGGGCAACGGTGTTGTATGATGTCCGGATAAGTGCTTCACAGAGATATTGGGTCCAATGGGCCATTGCAAAATAACAGCCCATTGGTGAGCTTGGTAGTTGATAGTGTTGATAAATTTGATTCGATAGATTTATCTGGGCCGCCTCAGAATCAAACTTGCCCAATTAGGCCCAAGAATATGCTGGGTGAACAGTGATGTAGACGTTCGCATAAGCTTGCAATTGCAAAAATTCAATGAACGTGGCAAATTTCTATAGATTCTAATTTTCGTCGGTAAGAGAAAAAAAAAAAAACAGGGGTCATCTCGGCTTTGGTTGTTGCCACACGGCTTTCTAAGATAAAGACAAGTTAAATAATATAATAAGTGTATTAATTGATTAATTTTGTTAGTTTATAGTTGTTTCAAAAAAATTTATTAGTTATAGTATTTACCAATATTAATTTATAAGTTAATTTTATTCTATTAGATAATAAAATATAAAAATTTTAAATTATTTTTAGCAATTTTTGTTTAATTTTTTTGACTTTAAATATAAATTTCAAATAAAAAATTATCAATCTATATAAATAATAATTCAAAATTTTTTATATAGTTTTTGTTGAATATTTTTATTTGATCAAAAAATTTTAATTATCATTTATATAATATGTTAACTTTTTATTTAAAATTTATGTTTAAAGAATCAAAAATTCAAATTAAAATTGTAAAAAATAATGGGTAGAATAACTATTTTACTAACTAATGATTACATTTATCATCTATTTCTAATAATTAAAATAATAAAATTATTTTTAATACATTAAAAAATTAATTATTTAATATTATAAAATTTTAAAACCTCAATTATAATTTCAAATTTAAATTTCTAAATTTATTAGTAATAACTCAAGGCAAATATTGGAATCAATCTTTTTAGACCTAATAATTCACTTTAAATCTTAATGTTTGATTTCAATTAATTAATAGTTCAATTTTTACTCATTATTTAAAAAATTTTCCTCCCTAATAATTTCCGATGTTCAAAAAAAAAAAAAAACTCAAGGCAAGCATTGATGGTGACCCTCTTAAAAACGTTGCGTGGCAACAATATCGTCTAGCGTAAATAATGAAGAACAGTGTTGGGGATGATCTTATCTAAAAAAAGAAATTAGTTAATTTAAAATCCAAAGGACAGATAATCATTCGACGGCTGTCAGCTGTTTTGTAGTCCGACAGTTGGACCACGTGTCAACCGACTTTCATCTCCTTCCAAAATAGATCGTGTTAACTGTAGCTGTTCTTCTTGCCAGCCTGCACACAGCACTCAGAACAGAAGGTCAAAACTCAAACAGTCCCTTCCTCTGTTCCATTTCATCGTCCTTGTTGTTTAGGAAGCTTCGTTTCTTTCTGGATCCAAAAGGGTATCTTCTTCTCGTTCGAGTTCTTGGGTTTCTGTCGTGGATTGCAAAAAAGAAAGGGAATGGGGAAGAAGGGTTACTTGGCAATGGTGGGTGAGCAACAGGATACCACTGATCTGATCAGTTCCGATTTCAAAGAGCTCACCTTGGCTGCTAAGAAGCTTGCCAATCACGCAATCAAGTTAGCTTCTTTGGGATTTGGGACTACCTTTCTTGAATGGGTTGCATCTTTTGCTGCAATGTATGTCTTCTCTAAGTTCCAAGTTTCTTGATCTTTGGTCATGAATTTCTGGTAATGATTTATTCCATTTATATGTTATGATTTCTCTGCAGTTATTTATTGATCTTGGACCGGACACATTGGAGAACAAATATTCTTACAGGGTTATTAATCCCCTACATCTTCTTTAGTCTTCCTTCATTAATTTTCAACATTTTCAGGTAAGCATCCATTCTATGGCAGCAACTTCTTCTTGCTGCTCAACTCAAAGTATTAACTTTCCTTTCTTTTCATGCTAAAAAATTGTTTTCCACTGCAGGGGAGAGGTTGGAAGATGGATTGCTATAATTGCTGTTGTCTTGCGCTTATTCTTTCCAAGACGTTTCCCAGGTAAAAAATCAAATTATCGAATTTTCTAGTCTTTGTACTTATCAATCAAGTTTGAACTATTGTGCGTGTAATCCTTGGTTTGCGACTGGATACTGTAATTACAGATTGGTTGGAAATGCCTGCTGCTTTGATTCTGCTGATAGTGGTTGCTCCTAGTTTCTTTGCAAGCACCCTTAGAGGCAGCTGGGTTGGAGTTTTGATATGCCTCGCCATTGCTTGTTATCTTCTTCAAGAACATATCCGTGCATCAGGTGGGTTTCGGAATTCTTTTACAAGAGCAAATGGTATATCGAACACAATTGGCATCATCATTCTATTTGTCTACCCTGCTTGGGCATTGGTAATTGACTTTATCTAAGTTTAGCATCATTTGAAGCTTGTTGAGATTGTTTGAGGTGTCTTCATTGTTGAAATATCTCCTTTGTATCATCAATTTGTGAGACCTGCTTATCTACTGCTTTTGATGTTCTATAATAAGAATTTATATGCTTTGCGTGTTTTCATCTTTGAATCTGTAAGAATCCCTGTTTGTACAACCCTATATAACATTTTATCATATGATTTTCCATTGCTATAGAAAGAATACGCCTTCCATAAACATTGAAGTATTATAAGGCAACAAGGTCCAGAAAAATCTTATGCATGTACCATAAGGTAACAAGGATCATTGTTCATAAAGATTCTGGATATGTCCATAACTTTTCTTTCATGAAGAATCACAAGAAGCAAAAGGATTAGGAACTGCAACCGACGTGCATATCTGAAAATCGTGTTCTGGCTCTCCTCTCATGCCTTTGACTCCTTTGCTTCACTGTACAATTGATCAATTCGATCCTGCAGAGATATCGGTGCATGATATAAATCAAGTGTTTGTGACATGGTTAAACTTTCATGAAACGGTAAAAGAATAGAAAGTAGACCTTATAGTATTTGAGCAACTGTGGCCTCTTCAACTTAAATGTAGGGGTTATGAGATCTCTCTCAATGTCAAAAGGATTTGGCTCCAAGTGAATTGCCTTCAACAGCTCAAACCCTCTAAGCTGTCCATACATCATCTTTCATGTCAGTTTAAGAAAGAAAAATATGATTGCAGAGCTAGGAAAAAGGAATATGAGAACTCATCCACATACTTGGTTTTTCTGACCAATGCCATTGAGTTCGTCTAAAATGTATTTTCTTGCTTTCGGGTTGTTACACAGTGATTTAAAATCTAGAGCTTCATGATTGTTTGTTGCCCAATCCTCAAGTGCCTGTCTTTCAGGGACTACCACAGCCACAAGAAATGACTCAAAGCTGTTCCCATAGACCCAAACCTGCAAGAGGAGAAGGTTTAAGTAGAAATTCAATATTTCCATCTATATTATTATTAATCCTCTTCTCTGGTAAAAACTTTGATCAGTTCAGAAACATACTGATGTTATAAGAGGGCAACGAGAGTAGGTGTTCTCAATACGCTCCACAGCAATGTATTCACCTTGGGAAAGCTTGAATATATTCTTTTTCCTGTCAATGATTTTCATTGATCCATCTTGTTGCCATTCTCCAATGTCACCTGTGCTAACAAGTGTTTATGTCAGTGTATTCCAGGCAGAATAATATCTGCTTATTGTAACTTCCTGACTGTATATTGTGAGGTCTTTACCGGTATGAAACCACCCGTCAACAAAGACTTCTTCAGTTAAATCTTGTCTCTTGTAGTAACCTGAGAACAAGGTGTTTCCCCTCAGGCAGATCTCTCCGCGTGGCACACTAGCAAGTGCATCATAACCCATCTCTGGCACAGACTCAAGCCTTGCTTCAATAGTAGTAACTGGAACCCCAACAGTTCCCACCATAGACATCACATTGGCTAGAGATGTAAAACATCCAGCACAGCTTTCAGTAAGACCTACACATTAAAGATATGGGAAGATAGAAGGAGTTATGGACAAGAAATTGTTTTCACAACTCATTGTGTTTTTTAGTGCAAAATTTAGGAAGCAAGGTCTCTCTTGGCCACAAGAAAGCACAAGTGTTTAATGCTAAACAAATGCAACAATGTCAAATTCCAAACAGTGACTGCTATCTACTACATATCGAAATGAGGAATGTTCTGTATGAGAGTAGTTGTTCAAAGTGATTTTAAAGTCTTCAATGAGACTTCCCAAGTTTCTTGATCAGAACATTCATTACCGTATCCTTGTGATAAATTAGCACAGCAGGTAACCCTCAAAAACTCCTCCACATGCCTAGGCAAAGGTGCTGCACCAGAGAGCAAAATGCGTACTCTTCCTCCTAATGCTTGTCTTACCTACAACAATGAACACATTTTTAATTTTAAGAGGAAAATAAAGCAGGAATCTCAGAATAGACAATGCCTGAATGTCTAACCTTGTCAAAGACCAGCCGGTCCAACAGAGGTGCTGCATTGTTGTGTGGCAGTCCACTCTCCATATTTCCTAATTTGCTGTTTTAAAGCTTCTTACATTAGCAGGATGCGATGACAACCATCAAATAAAGCCAGCGTGGAGTTAACAATAGTACTTACTAATTATAGGCAAACTGGAACAGTTTATTCCGTATTGCACCTCCAGATGAAATTTTATTGACAATACCTTCAATCACAATTTCATTTAATGATGCTTAGAATAATATAACTAAAATCAACAATAAGAAACAGCTGTTATACATAAATCTAATGCAATGTACAGACCAGTATATATACGGTCATAAACTCTTGGAACCGCACAAAATACAGTTGGCTTTAGCTCCTGAACATCTTCCATCAAACCCCGGACATCCTGAAAGCAAAACAAGAGGAGTCCCTTAGGTGCATTTGTAAAGTAAAGAGGGCAGAAATTGGAAAAGTGAAGAAAATCACTGCAATATCAATCTTACCCCTCGCCAAAATCCTATGGAAGAACCCCTGTAGATGAAATAAGTTACCATTATCTGATCATAGACATGTGCCAGAGGAAGGAAGGAGAAATATGTATCTTCTTCTGAGCACTGCAACAAAAAAACAAATATCATCTACATGTAAATCCTTCTCTTGCACAATGAAAGAGAAATCTAAACAATTCATTCAAAACATTTTGCTGCTTAAAGAGTTAACGTCCATCGAGATAAAATAATTTGACCAAGACTAGATGATAAGCTTCCATCTTGGAAAGAGGGAATGCTTCTCCTAAGCATAACACTCTAATGACTCTTCTGGAAGTTGAGCCAATGAGTGCAATTCACTTAAGGTTAAATTCAATGTGATGTGAAAGCTCAAGGCCTTTCATTTAAAGCATTTTATTTGTAGGCATGCATTTCTCAGTTTTCTACAAACTTACATTTTTTATCCAGGCTTGGCATCAGGTTTAATTTAACTGGGATAAGAACTTGTTGAAGACCATAACTAGATACAAACAACCCTCAAGTTATGCACACTCAGACAATTTATGAATTCTGGTTGACGGTAGGAATTGGTGTATTCAAAGAAAGCAAATAGACACTTACTGCTTTGTCTCTTATTTCCATCAGTTGGTCTACAGTCAACACTTCTGTCATGATAGCACCATTTGTGAGTATGACACCTTTTGGTTCTCCAGTTGTCCCACTAGTATACATAATTGTACATATATCAGCGTTCTGTTTTGGAGGAAGTTCAGAATCCAAAGTTCCCTGGTCGAAGGAGGACAACCAGGTGAGATTTATAAAATTGGATTAGATTACCGATATAACTCCATACTAATGATAAGATAAACGTTCACTAGCAGGAACAACAATGTGAAGATGTTACCTGCTGTGAAAACTCATCCCAAGAGAAGAGAGATACACCAAATTCTTCAGCTTTCTTCTTCTGGTCGCTAGTAATGTTGGTGAAGCTAACAATTGCTGAAGGAATAGGAATATCTTTATTACTACCACTGAAAGTATAAGCCAAATAATTTCAGCTTTTCAAACAACAGGATTTTCACTCACCTTTTAAGTAAGAAGAACATGCTGGAAGACAAGATAGGATCTGCGGTAGTTTGAAATTGGGTGAAATAAACTTGAGAAGCATGTTTTCCGTGCCAAATTTACATTTATTGAGTAACAAAATATGATTTCTCATTCATCTTTGTACAAAGGAGTGCTCTAAAAGACAGATAAAAATGCTCGACAGATAGATGCACAAGAAGAAAAATTAAGTCCATTATTAAGAAAATTTTATCAAGGTAAATGTGTTTATCAATGAGGGAAAAATGTCATAACAAGGAACTAAGCAGACATGGTTTTAGCAGCAATGGAACTTACAGCAGGGAGCTTGTTCTCTTGAACAAAGGCTATTGAAACTTCTGCATGGTTGATAATAAACTCCACTGCATTTGACCCTATGTTACCAAGTGAAAACCACACACACAGATCCCATTAAGTTCTATTAGGTAAAATACAGTGGTAGTATGGTACACTATTCATTGAGCCAAAAGTGCTCAAAAATACAGAAGTGAAGTGAAGGGACCTTAAGCCTACTGAGATGAGAAGACAACATACCGAGAGTATCATATAGAGGTACATATGTCACTGCTTGACTGATACAAGCCTGTAAACAAAAAGAAGTCATGAATAATTTTATTTCCTTCCAAGCAATTGTTGGAAGTAACAACATTTCCAGAATGCAATGCAACTCAACCCCACTCTTTTTGTTACAAGCAATCAATAATTAGGCATACCTCCATAGAAATGATCCATTCTGGGCAATTAGATCCATAGATACCACAACGGTCCCCCTGGAAACGGAATTGGTGTCAGATGTTATAGAATTGGACCAGGTAAAGAATACAAAAGAAATGCATAATAAATGCAATCTGCACTTACAGGATTGACACCACAGCTCCTCATTGCAGAACCCATTCTAAGAGCAGCATCATAAACCTCCTGATATGTGAGCCATACATAAGGGCCAGCCTGCTGCAAATTCAGAGAATTCCAGCATTTTAGCTTGAAAATTTTATATATGGATTTTTCTACAAGTGCACATCTTTATAGTAAATATATATAGAAAAATATTAAAATTAAATTTAATTATATAATTAATAAATTAAATATTAATTTTTATTTTTTAATATAAATTTATAATAAAAAATATATTTATTATTCTTTTAATCTGTTTTTTTATACTACAAAGTCGAAGTTACCATATATATAGGCACTAAAAGTTCAATAATATCTTTTTAACAAGGGCAGCACTATAGATAACTTTTTTATACATTTTTTGATACAATTTTCACATATTATTAAATGAATGGAAACATTAAATATCATAAATCCTACATGAATAAAAAGAACCAATTATTTAAATAACTCGTCAAGTTATACAAAAAAGTAGTAAAAAAAAGGGTAATGATTTGCGGGCCGAAAATGAGAGGCGAAATTGAGAGACGACAAGGGAAGTAGGTTAAATTGGTAATTTTGTGTCTTGGCTAATTTCTCTTGTCGTCCCTCATTTCGCATTCCATTTTCGTCCCGCAGATCATTATTCTAAAAAAAATTGTCTTAAAATCATTTCCTTTTATGAAAAATTCTTCCTTTGCATGCTTACTAAACTTTAATTAATACTCTATTTCACAATCACTTAATGTAGCTTAGATATCATTCTCTGGGAAGCAAGGAAGGAGAGAAGAAGATGTTACCTTTGAATCAGTGATTCGACGACCTAGCATTTGGTTGTTTGGAATCCTTTTAACAGTACCACTGTAGAAAAACAAATATACATAAAGATTTCAGGGCTGGAATTGATCAGAAACATGATGGATTCCATTTGCAATTGGTAAAGTATTAATTATATGGACAGGTACAACAATAACAATGGGCCTATTGGCTCAGTCGGTTAGAGGTTTGTTTGCACTTAAAAAACGAGAAGGTCGCAGTTTCGAGACCTGCACGAGCCATTTCTACTACCTTGTTTTTTTTTCAATCAAATCAAAGAAGATGGTGCACATCTAAGTGCTAATGTTCATGAGAATCAAAAGAAGTTGGGACTATGATAAAGAGACTTGCCTGAAGAACTCCCATGGAGAATGCATTCCGTCCGGCAGCTCCAAGAGACCATCTTTAGCATAAATGCACCTGTAAACTGGCCCGGCAGATGGACATTTCTCTGTCGCCGGCCTTGCTTCTTCAACCTTAACCGTCCAAGAAACCGACATTGTCCTGGTTCCCCTGACTCAACAACTGCTCTCTTTTTCAAAATGCTAGTGAAAAATGTACTTTCCCAAGTTCTATGCTTGGAATTTAACGACGGAAAGAAGAAAAGCAGTAGGAGAGTTGGTTGAGCTGAAGCATTGAATTCAAGATCGAAACAAAGCTTTATATAGCGGCGTTTATGAGGTCCTTGTGAACATCGATATCACTCTGTCCCCTTATTTAAGGTGGTAGATGAAAGTTGTTGAATCTGTCCATTAAAAAAAAAATAAATAAAAAGCGACCATATTTTATGATAGACATTTTTATTTTGTTGTAAGTGTTAATTTTATTGATTTATTTAATATTATGTGATTATTATGAAATTTTTATTATAAAGTAAGAGCGTGTCTGTATTAGTAGAAAAAAAATTTTGCTTTTTATTTTGCCTTCGAGTGTGTTGGATGTGGTTTCAAGATTGATACACCTACTGTAATTTTTAGTCCAAAAATGTGTTGTTTAGGTCTTGAATTTTGGTGCTAATGTGTATCTTTTCTCAACAAATTAAACCTCCATAAGCGACGTTATAGATAACGTGACGCTAATGATACTCACCGAACCTGGAGGTTGTCATTGTTTCTTTTAGTTAGTCTTTTTTTCTTGAAAAGGGCTATGGGAAAATGTGATCATGAAACGTCTCATGATTTAGTTAAACACTAATTAATTTGGATAGAAAAGATGACAAATTTTAGATTGAAATATGTAAACTTGTAAATCAAGACTGAATATTTTAAAAAGTATTTTAAATTATTAAAAACTTGAGATTCTAAATTAAATATATTGAATTTGAATTTTGAAATAAATAGAAAAGAACAAATAAAATAATTATCTGTTATTATATAAGGATTTTCTAACTTTTGTTTTTAAGGAATAAATTAAGTTTTATTAATTGTGATATTTGTAATTTAGTTTGTACAAAATTTCATATTAAATTTAATTAAAATATAATATAAAATATAAAAACAAAATAAAATAAAATATTTATACTCAAAATATAAATCTAGTATTAAAGTTTGGTTAGACAAACCATATTATATAATCTACAATTTGATTTTTCTTTTTTTTTTTTTAAGGAGCAAATTAGGACCAACCTTTTCATTGGGCCAAATTGTTATTTTTGGGACAGTCCTGGGCCTGCAATTGTTCATACTAAGAACACAACGGGAAAAGGACCCAAAGGTATTTCACTCCCGTTTCCTGTACGAGGACAGGCCCAATGAGCCCAACCCACTAAATATCTCAAAATTCAGTGAAGATCACACAGTCTATGGGCCTGAGCCACCACATCAGCTACACCTCAGACAAAATGTAACCGGTTCATCATAGTCGAAGCCCATTAAATGGGTCACCTCCCGACCCATAAGGGGAAGTGGGGACCATTTCTCACACGGCCATGTGAGAAACGAAGAAAATCACGCCGTAAGATGGTCTCATCCGCATCGGACAAAAAAGCCTTAACAACCTTTAAATTCCCCGATGTCGACGTGTCAATCGCCCGCCAGACCGTCTGTCCACCGGACAAAAGTCGCATATCAGTCAACCCAAAACATTAAACCCTCAAAACCGCCAAACTTCTGTATTAAAGACTCCATTTAAAACCACCAACGCCACCACCATCTCCGATCATGAAGGTTACCGACAAGGCCCCATCTCCATCTCCATCTCCATCATCCACCAGCACCACCTCATCCGAGACTTCAACATCGTCGCCACCACCACCCCCATCAAGGATCCCGGTGGACTTCAGCCCACCGTTGATCGCCATGGTGGTAGTTGTCGCGGCAGCAATTTTAGTCATAACATATTCTCGCCTCATATCCCGCCGGCTCCTCCCTTCCCTTCTACGCCTCCTCAGATTTTTCAGACGCCGCCGTCCCCGCCGCCGTTACCTTCCTTCCACCACCACCGACCTTGAGTCCCTCCCTCCATCCGATTCATTCGAGCTCCCACTTTCCCCTTACGGACTTGACGACTCTGCTATAAAACGCCTCCCCCTCTCCCTCCACAACTCAAAATCTAAAATCAAAAGCCCAAAAGATTGTGCGGTTTGCTTATTGGAATTCGAGGACGACGAGTATGTCCGGACACTCCCCGTCTGCTCCCACGCCTTCCACGTGGACTGCATCGACGTCTGGCTGAAGTCACATGCCAACTGCCCCCTTTGCCGTGCCGTAATATTCGCGGCGGAATCACCATTTATTCCGCTCATGGCAGCCCGAATACGACCGAGTCTCGATGACCCTGTTTTGCTCAACACCAATCTCGATTCCCTCACCGAGACTCCTTTGCAATCTCATGCCACCACTATAACGGAGATTACCGAAGAACCATCCCCAAGAGGAGGAAATGTTAATCTCAGTACCGATTGCGAGGAAAATAGATTCGATTTTGTACTGAAAAGATCATATTCGTTTGGGTTTGAGAGGAATTTGGCAGCGGAGAGGATGCTAACGGAGCCAAACACGGCTTCCCCATGGAGATACCGGAGAGGGACGAACGGGTTCTGGAGCAAGCGTCCATCTCCGTTTGGATCATTGATGTCGAAACCGAGGGTGTTCTCATTCAGGGGAATAAAAGTGTCGCCTTTCTTCAGACGGAGAGGATTCTTCCCGTTATCGGAATCCAGCGTGAGATTTTCCGGCTCTGGTTCTTCGAGACGGAACAGGTCAATGACGAGCCCGATGTTCCCTCGATCGGAGGCATCAAGCGTGGCGGCATTCTCGTCGAGTCGGCTGAGGTGCGGGGATCCCGAGGCGTTGCTGTCGCCGGAGAGATTCAACAGAAGATAACCCAGAAACCAGAAAGGACGAGATTTTTTTTTTTTTTAGAAAAAACGAGAAGACACGTGGAATGACGCGATTTGAAGAGCGGAGGCAAACGGATGGAGGTGGCGGAGGCCTGTCCGGCGAAACAAGGAAAGGCGGGCGTTAATGGAGGCGGGGAGGGGCATTCAATGGAAAAACTGAGGAGAGAGAGAGACGCAGCGGTTCATAAATGTGAGGCTTTGGGTTGGGCAATCTGGGTCTTGGACTCTTGGGGGCCTTTTATGTGGGGAGTATGGATTCGGTTAGTCTACTTGCTACTCTATTTTGAGCTCGACCCTGGCCCAGGGGTTTATATTCATGAATCAATGGAAAGAGGCGGTGCTGGCGGCTGGGGCACTCATTTGACAGCTTGACTTGACGCAATTTTCCAAAACCATGAGCAATTGAGCACGCATAGTCTTGGGCATTATCTTTGTTTTTCTTATAGGGCGAATGGTCAACTATTTTATAGTTTAAGGTGTAAAATAAAAATTTTTAAATAATACTAAAAGTCCTTCATATTTAACAATTTTTATTAGTTAATAATTAAATAATACTAAAAGTCCTTCATATTTAACAATTTTTATTAATTAATAACTTTATTTTTAAACGAACGCAATTAAACATTGGCCCCGAGGGGGGGAGGGTGTCGCGTAGTGGAATTAATTACAAGTACCGAGTTTGAATCCAATATCTTGCCGTCACAAAACACTGGTTTTACCACCAAGCCTTCAGGTGATTGGCAACCACGCAAAGCCCTTTCCAAGGTTGATTTTGATGGACGAATGGTAACCGTCACTACAGAATAATTTCACTAAGATTAAATATCGATTTTAACCTCTTAATTTTAAAGTTTTATATAATTTTTGTTTTTATATATATATATATTTTTTGGACCTTCAACTATTGAGCTGACATCAACTATAAGAAATATATATTTTTTAGTTTTTCTTTCAATTAATCCAAAATATATACATTTTTAATCCTTCAACTTTTAATATATGTAAATTTTTTATCTCTTAATTTAAAAATCCAAGAAAAAATGTATATATAAATAAATTTAATAAATTGACTGACAAAAAAAACTAAAAAATACATTTTGTATAGTCAAATAACCCAAAAAAATACAAATAAAATAAAAATAAAAACGATACAAAACCCTAAAGTTAATAACCAAAATTGGCACTTAACCTTCCATTAAGTGGCCAATTCGTTAACAATTCATAAAGCATTATTCTACACATGCCCCTAGAAATGAATTAATTGTATTCTTTAATAAAATATATTTATAAAAATATAAAATAGACATTATTTTTATATTAAATATCAAGTTCCTCAACTTTAAAATTTTATACAATTTTCATCTCTCAATATTTAACGCACTTTTATGTCCCTCAAATATGAAAAATGTGTTTTTTTAGTCCTTTCATCAATTAGTTTGTTAAGTCTGATTATATATACACATTCTTTGTCATTCAACTTAAAAGTTTAGAGATTAAAAATGTGTACATAATGATAGATTTAACTTATTAACTGACAAAAAAATTAAAAAAAAATATTTTTCATAGTTAAAAAACTAAGAAAATGCATAAAAAAAGTTAAGGCACAAAATTTGTATCAAGTCATAAAGTTAAGGATCAAAATTAACATTTAACCTTATTTTTAGTACATGTGGTACCTAAATGATTTTAATTAGTTTATAAATTTAAAATCAACTTCTATTTTTTCCATAGCAAAGGTTCAAATAAAGATATAAATTTTGTGTTTTTTTTTTTTTTGTTTAAGGATATTAGCTTTTTGAGTATCTAAATTAGATACTAAATTTTTATTTTTTCCTATTTAAAAATATAAATTTTACCCTATTTTGATTAAAATTGTTGTTTTATGTCATCACTACCATCCAATAAATCCTTAAATAGAAAAAATGCAAATTTTATATTCTTATTTAGAAAGAAATGAAAGTTTACTGTATGATTTAAAAGCTTGAAAAGATTGTATCCTTAAATAGAAAAAATGACAAAATTTATATCTTATCTACACCTTTTTCTCATTTTTTATGTAAATTAATTGTAAGAAGATGTAATTAATTCACCTTTTCCATATATCCTAAGGATATAGATTAGAAAAATAGATTGATAAATAAAAGAAAAGAGTTATGGTTTATTTATACACAAATTTTGCACATATTATTTACATAAAATTTTAACTATTTACCTTTGCACTATAAATTATTGAGATTTATTCACTTTTTATTCTATTTTTAAAGATAATTTTCAATTTTATCTAAAAAATTATGATAAATCTCAACTATTCATAGTGAAGAGATGAAATATTAAGATTTTGTATAAATAATATATATAAGTGGAGCCTAACTTAAAAGAAAATGATTAAGAGACAATTTTCATTATACAACTTTTATTATTGTAAAAATATATAAATATTAATTAATATATTTAAAATATAAAATATTAATTAAAATTGATTAATTATAATAAATTTACTTTTTTTAGATAAAATATTGTGTAATTAAGTATTATGTATAGTCATCCCAAACAAAGTCTTGAACCTTTCAATCAATTTCCTTATTTGCTATATAAAAGAAAATAAAAATAAAAGAGGAGTTGATTCTATGGCCCAAAACCAGGAAAAGCCTGGCCCAAGACCGTCCTTGTGGTTCTTATCATTTTTTGGCGTCCAGGAAAAGTGAAGGCAAAAGAAATAGATTCATTTTCTCTCCTGGAGCACATGAGAACAAGAATTGGAGAAGAAGAAAACATATCCATGATCTTCCCTTGGATTTAACACTAATTATAACTGCTGTTGAGGATATGATGAACAGCAAGAATTATAACATCATAAGTCCAAACACACATCAAATTAAGTGGAACAACAAAAACAAAACATAGAAAAGAAAACACACAGCTAAACGTAAAGACATAGAAAAGAAAACACACAGCTAAACATAAAGACTCAAATCGTTAGAAAGCAAATACATAATACGTTTTAAAATACGTCAGTCCACACCTCCTGACCAAAGAGATGGATCCTTTTTTTCGCTCCAATCCTATAAAGCTCCGGGAAGCCATCTACACGCTCAAATATGACTCTGTCTCCAACTTTCAGTTCTTTCTCAAGGACATAGCGGCGCCACCCAGATCTCAAAACGGGACGTGGATTGCGGTGCCGTCGGACGTAGTAGCCGAAGCTCCATTCT